GCAAGAACAGGCTCAATGATTAACTACATGGACTATTGTGGGTGTGGTGTATATTTTGTAACCATTCTTTAGTATATCACTTGTGTGATGTAAGAATGTTAACACTGTTATATTCTTTTTTAGTATAATATGTGTGTGTGTAGAAGTGAATCATTTATTGCTTGCAAACCAATGATGGTAAGATGATGTCATGGGGTAGGACTGGATAAGTCTGACTTCTTCCTACTCCATTCAAGCATGTACTAGGTATAAGCAAATTGATATTGGATTAGCATTTGTTGGATATGTGTAAAATTATGTGTGTTGACATATCAACTGTCTTGAAATGCTTGAAAGAATAAATCAAATCAAATCAAATGTGACTGGACGTCTGTACGTTCTCTGTCTAGACTGTATAGAAACATGGATGACATGACAGTTAAGCAGAGGTCGATTCCCCCCTGGTGGCTGGTAATATACCCCATCCTCACCATGTTAGTGGATAGAACAGGAACCAAACACTCAAAATCCCAGTCTGATAAAAGTTGGCCAGAGGTGATTTTTGCGGGTTTTGGTAGATATTAACTCACTGATGTGTCGAGAAGAATCCGACTGTGTTGTGTAGACCGCCTCAAGTTAGACCCCTTCATGTTATGTCACTCAGCTCACACCTTTCCACTCATGCCCCCCACAATATGCCACACAATTTATACGGACCAATCAGAAAACGAGCTGTCACTAAAAACACAGCAACAGACAGAAGAAAGAAGCTAGCTTAGTTAGCGTTAGCTGTTTAGCCTGGAGTCACTTAGCAGTCATGAAGCCACAATGCGTTTGTGAACGATATATTAGGAACAATCAGTGAGCATGATATTTTCAGTCAGTCCTTTCCAATGAGCAACTGAAGTTGTTATATCATCTATGCTGTCTTCAAAGACACCAGACTCATTAGACAACAGTAGACTGTGTCACTGGAGTCTGGTGTTTTGAGGCAAGATAAAGCGGTGCACATCATCTAGGGTTAGGGTTGACCTAACACCTAACCACTAATTCTAACCAAAAAACAGTCTGCTTTACTATATTTACACAGTGGCACACTAAGGAGCTAAACTATTCTTCTTCTGTTTTTGGTGTGATTTCTTGTGCTCCAATTGGTCCGTAGAGCCGTGACATGAGTGTCGTAACATGTAGGGGCCTAACCTGAGGTGGTTTGTATGCTGCAGCCAGACCCTATTGCTTTTTTATTGTAAGGTTGTTTTTAATACGTTAATTAATGTATTTCAGATAACTGGACATCTCTGGCAGTTGGTCACTTACTACTCCACTGCTAATGCAAATCTGAATCTGGTTGCAAAATACCAAGATGGCTGCGGCTGTATTCACAGTATTGTGGTTTCCCTTTGTATAATGGAGGGTAGTGGTGATGTGTCATCCATCTTTCCATGCAGTGTTTGGTCTAGAGCAGAAAGAGCGTGAGACCATTTGTCCAGATTTCCATGGGATTTTAAGAGCTGATCTGAAACTCATAAAAAGAGAGAGTTGTCTTTGAAATAAGTGTTTTGAAAGTTTGCAAAGCACGTTTCAAAACTTTGACAAACACTGATTTGTAACATGGAAAAGAAAAACTTTAGACATTCAAATCTTATTTACAAATGTTTGGGTCCTAATATTCAGCTTAAAAAACATTTTACACATTCAAATGTATTTTTCAGCCTTTCCAATCCTAGATTTGTGTCAGTGATTTCATGTGATATACCAGTCTAATGCCTCCCATAACCCTGGAGCCATTAGACTGGTATATCATGTGAGCTGACATTACACTCACTGCATGGTGGAAGTGAGATTCCTGCCTGATCTCTGTGTCAGACATTATAGTTGTCTTTACGCTACTTCCTGCGGGATGGTCTTGGTGCTGCTCACGTGATAACTGGCTCTTATCGGAGAACAGGACATGTCGTCCTGTCGTCTGCGGGATAATCTTGTAATAACATGTTCTACACTACCACGTTAGCTCCTCACCTCCTCCTGCTCCTCCCGTCTTCTCTTCCTCCCTGTGTCCTGCTCTGTCCCCCCAGGGCAGGTTGTCTTCCTCCTCCACCAGGATGAGCGGAGCGTAGAGGAGGCAACCACGGCGGGGGCACGGGTTCGCCCAGGACGTTGAGGAGGCCCCCGAGCAGAGAGCCGAGGATTGACGTGACTCATAGCTGCTGAACATCTGTGCAGGAGGAAGAGGAGGGTCACTGAGGAAGACGAGCAGAGGTACAAGCCTGAAGTAGAAGTACTCACGCTCTTTACCTAAGTACCAGTACAACAGTGTAAAAATACTCCACTACAAGTAAGACGCCTGCATCCACTGCATCTCTGCCCTTAACGTTTTATTCCCAGGACCAAACTTGCCTGATCCAAATGGTGGAGCCTGACGCCCTCTACACAATAATATCTTCTTATTTAGCGAGGCATGTTTTGAAATAAAAAAGTACTAAATTCTTTCAACTCAAATATAGTAATTAGTGCGGCCGTTCTACCTGGTGGCATAATAACCAAACTGTCGAGAACTTGTTTTTAATAGTTCCGAGCTTTTACCGTTACTTTCATCTGTGTACAATGGGTCGGAGTATAGTGTTTAACTTCGTACTAACTGGCTAGCTACCTCACAAGGTAGGAAAACAGCGCACCTTTATTTTTTATTAAGTATTAATTTAAGGATACAGTGACTTGCCTAATCAATCATTTCTTTTTTTCAGTAAAATGACAGCCGACCTGAGATTTTTGCTTCAGATCTATTGAAACAATGTGCAACACAACACTGTGGCATATAGAACTAAAGTTTGGACTCAGAAACAGAACTTTACGTCACTACTTAACAAGTGGATAATGCACGAGTCATTTTGACCCAGTAATTTAAAACATTCATGTGAAATGGGCTGTTCTACAGAATGACTACTGTTACTTTGGCTACTTCAAGTATATTTGAATGCTGATACTTTTGTACTTTCATACAAGTATCATTCGGAATGCAGGACCTGCAAACAGTATTTGTACTCTATGGTATTAGTACTGTCACTGAAGTAAAGGGTCCGAGTACTTCCGCCACCACAGATGATTCGTATCAGTGCATGAGCAGCTGATGAGATGATTATGGAGGTAGCACAGAAAGAAGCTGTCTGCAAAAAAAAATCTTTTCATGGCACAGCAATGTCCCCGCAAGGTCTGATAACAAAGATGTTTACTTGTGTGTTACTTGTGTGTTACCTGTGTGCGTGCGCGGCATGGTGGCGAGGTGAGGTGGTACGTCCCGGGGAGGGGCAGGTCGTCACTGCTGCCCTGCCTGCCCAGACACTGGATGTTAAAGGGCGGTTTGAGACCTGACACATGGTAGCGAAACACAGTGTCATCACATCATCACTGACGGTTGTTAGAACACACCTATAACAAGCTGCATGGTGGACTGTCACATGTGATCATGTCACTTTTCTCTCGTTAACCCTGTCACATGACGCCATCTCTACTCACAGACAACTGTGTTTTCTGGTAGCAGGGAGGACTGTGGGCTATCCTCTCACCTGTGGGCGTGGCAGGAAGAAGGCGTCTCCGGGTCGTCCTCTTGCCCCTGTTGTAACTGTTACTGTAGCTACTGTTGGTGTAGGGGGCGTGGCCATCATAGTGTTCTCTGTACAGTGGAGGCTCATCAGGGTAATGTCTGAAAACACACACACCTGTCTGTCAGTGTACCTGTCTGCCAGCATACCGGGCTGTTTAGCTGTTAGTCCACCCAGCGTACCTGTCTCTGGAGGTGATGCTGACCTGGTCTTCCTCTCTGCTGCAGTGACCCTGTTCTCCATATGTCTCCGTGTCTCCGTTCCTCCAGTACTTGTCCCTTGAGTGTCCTCTGCAGAAGGAAATGAGAGCATGATTGGCCAAGACACCTGTCAATCAACACAACTGTTTGATCACATCAGCATCTAGTGGAGGACAAAGGAACTGCAGGACATTTGAGCCTTTTATGGTAAACATTGTTTTTATGTCTGCATTGTTTACCGTCTGTTTACACTGCTTATTCTGCATTGTTTGCATTGTTTGTTGATGTTAATACTGCTGTTTTGTTATATTACACAATCTTATGCTGGTTTACTGTTTGCACATTAAGAGCCGATGTACCAGAGTCAAATTCCTCGTGCGTCCGTCACACCTGGCCAATAAAGCTGATTCTGATTCTAAACATGACTTTTGGCTCGTGAAAAGCCACAACAATGCTGATGTGGTATCACAGTAATACATTGGAAACTTTTATGTGTACAGGGACTAGTGCTACCACCTCTTTCTGGCAGTGAGCTCGGGATCACATGTTTTGGAAAAAATTAATAGATGACAACAAACTCTCTTCACAAGATCAACATATTTGTTTCCAAACCTTCTAGCCACACGTCCTGGTCGTGGAGATGGTTTCAGTTGGTCACACACAGTTTCATCAACACTATCTTTCATGTCATTGCGATCACACCAGTTATTACAGTACACTTTATTTTCACAGACATTTGCAGGAGAATGGCCCACCTTCCATGTCTGTAGTATGACGGTCTTCTCTGGGCGTGGTCCAGCAGGCCATTCTTCAGTGACGGGTGGCGGTGATGACTGACAGATGACCTCATGTTCTCTCCAGAGCAAAGTTGTCCATCATGTTCGCTGCCATTTGCCGTCTTGGTGAGGGACCCAGCCCGGTGGATCAGACCTCTGTTGGACATTCCGTCGTCACCTGCGGACACGGGGGGGGCGGGGGGCAGTCAAGCCTGCTTTTACCATCATGGTCATTAACAGGCGATTATTTCAGGACAGTAGGGCACAGCACCTGTAAAGTAGGGCTCGTTACAGTAACGGTTTGCCCTGAGGAGGGCGTAGCTGAATGGTGGATATCACGGCTGATGTATTATTTGAATTTAGCTCTTTTTGTTTTATTGATGCACATTCTTGTGTTTTTCAGTGATGCACTCTTTCAAAGCAAAATAAAACACTGTAATAATTATGTCAGATTAATGGCATCTGGTGAAGAGTTGTCAGAGTACCTCATATTCTTGGGACAGAAGGTTTTGACTTATTTTATCATTTTGTACTTAAAGTGCCTCTTCCTAATGTCTGTTGAGCCTAGAGGGTTGAGTGAGACTCAGAACAAACTGACACCATAAACCACTCCTCACTTCCTCCTGTCCTGTTTCCTGAAGCTACCATGGGGGTGTAGCTGAGAGACACCACGTCCTGTCTCACTGTCACTGGGGTTATCAGACAGTGTGGAGAATATAGGTTAATGCAACTTTAAGAATCATCATTTTCATTAATTTTCTTTTAGGCTGTTGACTTCACATATTGGACCCATCAGGAGTTTCTTTAGTTATTTCCATAGTTTGATTTATCCTCATATACTGTATGCTTCCATAATCAAATATAAGCAAAGCTATCCACCTATCTACCCTGCTTTAGCAGAGCCACCAATGACCTCAACAGATTCCTGTCACATCTATAACGCTGTCACTGATGTCGTTTTTTGTTTCATCCTCATCTAAATGAACACAAAGTATCCACACAAACCTAATAATGTGATGTCAAGCTTGTGCTTACCTGTGGGTGTCATCAGTGTTGAGCCTTGTAGATCTTTCTCCGGTCCAAACCTATTTTCACCCTGCAGACAGGAACCGCAACAGTCGGATGCTGATTCAAATTTTTGACTCACTTTAAAGGACAGTTCAGTTATTTTTTGACCATGAACGTGCAGGTAGATGCAAAGTTTATGGATGTAAAAATAGGACCTCCAGCTCCCCCTCCTCCATCAAGGCCTCCTCCTCCTCCAGGTCCTTGCTCAGAGCCAGTCGAATCTCTGGACCCAGATCCTGCAGAGTCTTCAGACCAGCTTTACACAGCTACAGACACACACACAAATATGTAGATGCACACAAAGCATAAGAACTACACACTGATTTATATACAGGCATACCTGGACAGCAGAAGGGTTGGAGGAACTGGACTCTCCAGCCAGAGCTCCTTTCTCCTTCCTCTTCCTGAACTTCCTGAAATAATCCTGGATCAGGAAAGTCGCGTAAAACTTTCCAACGGTGACTTCCTCCTCTGCAGAGACACAGGAGAGGTTTATCTGTAGTACTCCCAGCAGCAGTATCAGCGTAGTGTCAGTAGTACCAGTAGAGTTTGTTGTAGTGCTACTAGTAGTGGTGTGACCATACACTTGGCTCACAAGATGATGTTTTGACAATATTTTTAAGAAATCTTCAGTGATGACATATGTGACTGGATAAAGTCTTTTATTTAACCCAAAGTCCAAAAATGCAAAACAGAGCAGGTGCATTTTGAAGCATTATAACTAATGACCTTGTAATGAATGTCACCTCAGTTCTACGTCTTGAGTATCAATTATCACGTGCAGTAAAAGATGACAATGTGCAGCCACCGTAAAAGGCCACAGACTCAGCCACCAGCTTTTCTCCTGTAGAATTTCACATGAGTCTCTTCAGACCTTAGAACTGCATGAACTGTTCACAAGCTTCTAATTTCTACCTGAAGCTGTGGGTGACCTTCTATGCTGTTTTCAGCCTGTCCTCTCCCCCAACCAACGCAGCCTTGTGTGTTAAACACAGCAGGAAGTTACATTTTTTCTGGACTAACTTGCCGTCACTTTGCCGTCACACTCATGCTGTCTGCTGCTCTGGTTCTGGTATGTACTGATATCATGAGACAGCTTTTATCTTCACCAAGAAATATCATCACATTTTGATATTGCAAGATCTCGTTGCACGAAATCTCATCACACCCGTAGTTATAGGTGTTTGGAATGCCTGTTTTAGTATTTGCACAATTTCTTCTAATATTAGTAGCATTTGTAGTAGTGCCAGTAGGGTTTGTAGTATTTAGTATTTGCAATAATATTAGTGGTGTTTATTGTAGTGTCAACAGGACTAGTAGTACTTGTGACAGTACCTTCATGTGGTGGTATGACTTCGTCCAGTAGCTTTGGTTTCATCCTCTTCCAGATTTTCTTGATGATTGCCCTCAGCTCCTCGTTCTCCTGCTCAGGGTTGCCTAGCAACAGCACACACATTAATTATGCTGTGTATCTACTGTGTGCTGTCGTAATCACAAGTTCACCACAACATCGTGTCACACCTATTGCGTCTGACCTGGCTCCAGATAATATTGGTGCTGCACACCTGCCAATCACACTCTTTAATTATCCTCATATTTAATGAACATGATGTTTTTATACTGTCGGTGTGGTATGTTGGTCCTCGTACAACCAGCTGCAATGATATAAACACGTGGACAACGAGAAGCTGTAAAGCATTACATCTGTTAGAAAATAACCCAATTCTTTTGTTGGAAGCACGAGAAGTGACGACAGGAGAGGACTGTTTAAAATCAACAGAAGGTTTACTGAAAGTCTGATCACAGGAAAGTCTTACAGCGCTGGGATCAGAGAGACAGAGCTCCCGCAGGAAAACCAGCTTCTGAATCCCGAGTTATGTTTTTACATTACATTTATACTCTTGGGTTAGGTCCGCCCCAGACAAAGGTGCAACAATTCATGCTGAAATGTGATCAAAACCAGAGGTGTGTGTGTGTTGTGATGTGATTTTCCAGGCGGCAACTGAACAAGGGGTCATCTGCGCTGTAGACCCCCTATCTGTGTAATCCTATTACAGGACAAAGCAGGACCTCATGAATACAAACACTATGTCTACACAGAAGTTAAAGTAATCAGTTTCTACTTCAGTATCACTTGACTCATCAATACAATTGGGAGATATATATGCAAGGAAAATAAATGTATTAAAGTAAACAAAGCTCAGTAGTTCTGGTCAATCATCAATACAGTTTTAACCTGTATAAGCAAGGAAGGTAAAGGTATGAAAAGTAACTAAAAGACAATGAAGAACTGAAAAGTAACTAAAGATTATAAAGTAACTAGAGCCTATAAGAATCAAATCCTACACATCTCAGACATTTCCTGTAACAACTCTGAGAACAAGCGTCTCTACGGCCATGCTACAGAGTTTTGTCTCACACTACCATGACTTACAATGGTTTTGCTTAATGTGCCATCATCAACAGCTCTCTGCTGCAGCCTGGTCCAGCCCCCATGGTAGACCCAGCCGTGTTGCTGGCTTTGATTTGTTAAAGTAAAGCACCTGTCACATGTCAATCAGGAAGTGATTCTTACAGCAGTGTAACAGAACCGGTCACTACAGATACCTTCAGTCTTGACCTTGAGGGCGGTGCGAACCAGAGCGAAGAGCGTGGCATTGAAGGTCACCATCCCATCAGAGTTCAGAGGCATGTTCATGGCTACCAGACGCTGACAGAAGGGAACAGGAGGAAAACCAAACATAAGTCATTCACTACAACCAATGCGAAACTACTCCACGTAGGAAGTGTCAAGGCCACAACTCTGATATTAATTTGTCTATGGGAGAATGCCAAAAATGATGAAAATGCTATAGAAGTGAGGCTTGGTGTTGACTGGCCTAGAGTTGAAGTACTTCACAAAGAGTTGCAATAGCACCACCATGTGGTAATATATTAGCAAAAACTGTACCACTGTACTATTTTGCTAATATAATGCAACCACGAGTCGCTGAAGAAAAATTCTGACGTCAATGGATCTTTGTTTTATTTCACAGGGGCCTGTCTGACTAAACACCGTCACACCCAGTGAACCACTGCAGTGTGTATGGGGCATCTAGCTAAGAGCCAGGGGATGATGCTGATACAGACCATGGCTGTTTATGCCATAAAGAGCTTGTTGCCATTTTGAATTTTTTTGCCAAACATGTTTTTGGCCTCCTAATTTACATATTTGTTCCAATGATCACCAAACTTGGTACAAAGCATATTTGGGATCTGGAACATGTGTTTTCTCCAGGATCTGCATCTTTTAGTGTTTAAGAGCTTTGTTGTCAACAACGCCTCCAAGCATATATATATATATGTGACATGGTGTGTTACAGTGCAGCTTCTCATACCTTACAGGCCACTCTGTGAGGACAGAGCTTCCCAAACCCCAGGGGAGGCTGAATCCTCCTGAGCAGAGCCACAACGTCCAGGTGTTTTATACGACCCCTGAGAGTACAGAATAAACAGCATTACAATAAACCCCACCCACACATGCACTTTCTGAGGCTTATCTGGGACAGGTGGAGGTGGCAGCAACCCACCAAGGGAGGAAATCACGGCTAGACGTGAGACATGAAGTGGCAAGAATAAATGAGGCTTTGTGGACACTGGAGCAAACATCACTGTACTCCTCCAAGCAGCAGGAGGCACTGTAGCCCAGTAACACTTCAAACCAGTCAGCTGTCCAGCCCGACCTTTAACCAGGATAATGTGCCAGAAAACAGTGAAAACCCTCTAGGCCGTGAAAGGTTTACACCTGATTTCAGTGTCTGTGCTAAAAAGTGCGAGTATGCACAGTATGTATGTGTCTCTATGGTTGTGTGGACAACTTTATGTTCAACATCATCATGAGGACATGCTGTCCTCACATCTTCACAGGGCAATTTGAGGGGTCAGACTTGGTTTGATTGCTCAGGCTAGATCCAGGTTCAGGTTAGAGTCAGTAGTAGATCAGTGAAGGTGTGTGTGTGTCATACTTGGCCTCAGGGTCGTATTCCGACCAGATCCTCTTAAACTCATCCAAATGATGTGGTCCCAGAATCGACCAATCACGTGTCAGATAGTCGAAGTTGTCCATGATGACAGCGACAAACAGGTTGATGATCTGAAGGAGAGACAGTCGGTCAGAGCGTGCTGACATGTACACAAAGCACGTGTGCGTGGAACCTGTGCATTCTGACCAGGAAGGCACACAGCATGAAGAAGCTGATGAAGTACACGATGGCAAAGTTGCTGCCACAGCTGAACTCTTCTCCTGGTTCGTAGTCAGAGTCAGGGTCACAGCGTTTCCCTGGAAGACTGGCCAGCATGATCTCCTGCCACGCCTCACCTGTGGCACACCTGCACAAGGTAACACAACCACAACATAGACTAAATACTCCTGTTGGAGAGAGAGGACAAGGAAGAAACTGAGCTGAAGGCAAAGGAGGTTCTGACCTGAAGAGGAGGAGAACAGCCTGAGGAAAAGTCTGAAAGTTGTTGTTTCTGTTGATCTGAGTGTTGTCCTGCATCGCTATTTTCCCAAACATCTGACAGACAGAAAGACAGTCATAGTTTTAATACCTGAAGTTGTTTATTTGGATTAATTTACTACACTCAACCTGTGTTGCAGGTCCGACCCCCCATTAAAACATCAGATGTGAGCCACCTGGAGGGAAACTTCAGCTGTGATATGGAGGCTAAACCCGCCTGTGGTTAGGAACCATTTTCAAACAAAGATGTGCACTGTGGTCTGTCTGGAGATGCACCTGGGTGCCCACCTGCATGCCAATGACGGCGTAGATGAAGAAGATCATGGCAATGAGCAGAGCGACATAGGGCAGAGCCTGAACAGAAACAGAGGAGAGAGGTTAGACTGACCACACACACACACACACACACACACACACACACACACACATGCACACCTCTGTAAGTCCCACCCCTCACCTGCAGCGATTTGATGAAGGTCCACAGCAGCGTACGAATCCCCTCCCCTTTACTCAGCAGCTTGACCAATCGCATCACTCGAAAAAGACGGAAGAAGGTGATGGATACTCGGGAGCTGTCCTCTGCACTCTGACATGAAACAGGAGTTTATCATGAAAAATAAGAAAATCAAATAAGGATTTAGTAGCGGTAAAAAAAATCTGTTGTCTATCGACTTGGTTGAACGAGTCGTCACATGATGCCTTCAGTGTGCAAACCCTGGAACCAGTCACTTAAACAGTGCAGTTTGCCCACTGTGCTGAAATCCCCAGAATGTCACTGTCTGTGGATGAGAGTTTTAATGGGACTGAACGGGAAGAACAGTCAGAGGGCAGTGTCCACCTGGCTCGCTACTACCAGCAGCAGCCATGGAAGAAGTACTCAGACTGGTTGCTTTAGTAGTAATACCACAGTGTTCAAATAATAAAAAGTCCTGCATTCAACAAGTTGCTTAAGTGAAAGTACTGTCATCCAAATGTACCAGAAGTGTCCAAAGTAACAGTACTCATTCTACAGAAAGGTGGAGCTAATGTTAATTACCTTATATACTACACAATTACTGTAGGTACACACAATCTATTAGGTACAGCTGTATGCACTTCAGTGCAGCACGTCCACCTTAGCATCTGTGCTTATGAAGCTCAACATGTTGTGGTTTTTGGTGAAATTGTCATAACTGTATAAAGTCAATTCTATGTTTATTACTGAGGTTAGGGTTAAAGGTGGTGCTGTACTGGACTGCATCATGTCTAGTATTCAGTATATTAGGTGTTCCTAATATTCTGACCCTCTCCTGTATGTAGCCTGGGAGGACATGGTTTGTAGGTTTCAGTCTCTGCACAGGCCCGCTACACTACCCATGATGCAGCTGAACAGGGTTACAGGATGATACCGAGCTGAGCATTTCAGGAGGTAAGTGTACTAGCAGCAGTACCTTATCGTTATCTGCTGCATGACGAGTCACAATGTTACACAACAACACACCCACTGTCACATATAGGAAAGCTGGTGGGTGTGCATCACTATATACATATAGACACATACATGTGTACAACAGCCAACACGAGCACTGTGGCAGCAGCTGCTGTCTGAGAACTCACACTGAACTCAGTGACGACGATATCGACCACGCTGCCAACCACGATCAGAGCGTCAAACGAGTTCCAGGCATCCACAAAGTAATGCTGCAAGAAAGGACACACAAAAACCTCTCGTCAGTGTTAACGCCCCCAGAAGCAGAGGAGAAGACTGAAGCTTCAGTTTCCAAAAATGACAACTGAACAGATCTAAAGGTTCCCACTGAAGACAGAGCCACTGCCTGGTACATCTGAATTAGCCTGTCAGTGTTTCCCTGCTGCTCTTCCTCGAATGGAAAGACCTCCGTACATGGTCGCTGACAACTTGACCACTGAAATCAGACTATTTAAACCACCAGTCTGGGATCACAGCTCCAGGTCTCCAGTAGGTTTCGGTGTGACCCAACAGCTGCACACATCCTCTCTACAACAGACAAACACTGCTGTGAGAGGCAGCGCTGCTGCAGATGTTCCCACAGATGTGTTGCACCTGTCGGCTGCTCTGCTTTCAGTCTGGCCCCTGCGCTGCCGTTCCATTGTTCTGTCCTCATCCACAGCCTGGAGCTGTTTGTGCCTCTTTCTCACATGAAACCCTGAGAAGCTCTGACTTCCTGTGTTCATGGCCTTTTTCCACATGATGCATCAGAGATGCTGCTTTTCCAACTCTGCCTCTGTACAGACAGAGTCTGTTGCTGTCAGTCATCAGTAACAGTTGAGACGCCTGTAGGAACCATTTGCATCAGGGTTCAAGGCTTCATCTACTTCCACTGCTGCAGAAAACCTGTTGTTGGATCCCTGAGAAAGGCTTGGTTTATGTGACATTTAGATCAAATCAAATCAAATCAAATTTTATTTGTATAGCACCAAATCACAACAAAAGTCATCTCAGGACACTTTACAAACTAAGGTCTAGACCTTACTGTTATCAATATTATTACATAGGGAAAACCCAACAAATCCCCCTTGAGCAAGCACTTGGCGACAGTGGGGAGGAAAAACTCCCTTTAACGGAAGAAACCTCCGACAGACCC